TTAACCAAAGGCTTTGTACAATTCGCAATATAATACTTGTGACATACAGTTTTATCTTTAGCTACACTCAGGACTATTCGATTCAAAGTTGACACCAAAAGGTTTTGGTAAAAATCTTTCTCTATAAAGAATAGTCAATGTCGATTCATTTTCAGTAAGCCAGCTAGCATCAGATGACTTATAATTAACACGTTATCCAAAATAAATTCATGTCCCATCACTAGTAATACTAAAATGCAACTAACATGTTCGAACAAACTTCCACTAACTTTTTAAACAAATTTTTATAAACAATTGAACTTGGTATGAATAATCATGACACCATCCTCAATATTTGATAAAATAAAATTAAAAGTATCTCATTTATCTTTATATTTTTCTTTGATGTTCTCAGCACTTTTAGTTAGACTTAAATTATATATCTTTCTCTATGACCGATTGAAAAAATTTCTGCTACTTAAAATCATATCATTAATTCTCCTTTCTGATATCTTATAAAACTTGAAGATGGTTACATTGCACAGTCTAAGTGAATTCCATGTATTATGTATAAACAAAGACAGCTCATATAATCATATCAATATCATTTAAGAAAATTAAAATTCATTAAACTGTTAAAAGAGAAAAAAAATGATTCGAACTTTTATTTTAAGCATATATTTGAAATAACATTGAAGAAAAATCATAATAAAAATCTATGAATGTTTATAGATCTGACTTTTGTTCTTTAAAATGATGTTTTGGGTCGATTCTTAAGATATTCTGCGATTTTAGGTTGTTTTTCAACTTCAGCACGATTTTGTTCTAACCATGAGAAATTATTCAAACAATCCGGTGCGGCTTCAATACATGTTTGTCCAAAAGTATAGAAGCGTAAATCTGCCCATGTTAATTGATTACCAACAAAAAAATGACCACCTTTACCATATAGTTTACCAAGAGTCTCAAGATTTTGTAAATGTTTTGCTAAATCTTCAGTCAAGAACTTCTTTTTAAGTGCTTCGTCGGAACTAGATGCTGGCCACGCCGTGTTTATATCAGATATTGTGTCAATAACAGCATCAACTTCTGCTTGTTCTAAATTATCTTTGCCAGCTAAATGAAATTGTTTGGCAAGAAATCGGGCAATTGCTGCTGATTGTGGTAGTTCAACACCGTCAACTTCAAGAACAGGCATTTGACCTAATGGCGTTTTAGGTTTGAGTGCTGGCCATTGTTCTCGTTCAATACGAATATCTTCATATTTTTGACCAGCAGCAGCAAAGATTAATCGTGATATTTCAGCACGTCCACGTCCATTGAAATAAGTAAGTTTGTATGATGGCATTAATGTTGTTTGAAATGAAATTTGTTATGAAATAAGAGAAGAATAACTATATGTGCTATGTGAGGTGTGGTATTTATATATGAGATAGTAGAGCCATTACATGCATTTTTCTTTGCATTGTCATCATAACGTGGACATAAAGAACGAGCAAAAGAAAATGCAATAGAAATGATGACAGTGCATTTTTTTTTGTTTCTTCTTAATAGAAAAATATCTCTGTATATACTGAAGGAGATGTATTTTTCCGGAAAATAAACGATACAACATGAATGTTTTATATGATTGAAGATTACAAAGATTGTTTCAGGACTATTATTTGAGATAAGTATAGAATACATAATATTTAATGTCGTTTTTTTCTAGTCCATATTTTGTTCATATAGATTA